AGTGCTATGTTGAAAGGGGTTTGAGTGCACATTCTTGCCATGATCTCATCTAAGAGCAGCGATGTTCAGTCTTTGACCGTTAGGTATCATAGTAAATGTAGGTTTTGTGTGGATGCCCTCTATCAACCCTCTGCCCCTGCAGTTAAAAACAACAAATCTCTGTTTTCACAATACCACTGTCTTTATTATGAAAATTAAATGTAGGTCTGGTGAAATTAAAAGGATTTGCCTCAGTCCACTACCCTTATTCTTGTCGTGTTCTCTTCATCCCACATCTCCCACTATCTGTTGATTTAATTTGGTACACCTTTTTTTTTTTTTTTTTTTTGCGGTACGCAGGCCTCTCACTGTTGTGACCTCTCCCGTTGCGGAGCACAGGCTCCAGACGCGCAGGCTCAGCGGCCATGGCTCACGGGCCCAGCCGCTCCGTGGCATGTGGGATCCTCCCGGACCGGGGCACGAACCCGCGTCCCCTGCATCGGCAGGCAGACTCTCAACCACTGCGCCACCAGGGAAGCCCTGGTACACCTTTTAGTAAACTCAACAAGGCAACAGCAGGCAAACCCCTTCTCCCAAAGATTTGGTCGTTGTGTGCTGGATCTCCAGATGCAATTACTTTTCCCAAACAAATGACCTTGGCTTAGTATCCAAATTTTACTCTTGGTGGGACTTCCCTGGAGGTCCAGTGGTTAAGGCTCTGTGCTCCCACTGCAGGGGGCATGGGTTTGATCCCTGGTCAGGGAAGTAAAATCGCATGCACATGGTGCAGCCAAAACAAACAAACAAAACCAAATTTTACTCTTTGTAAGCCTTACATCCCTTTATGAAAACTGAAAAATCATGTTAAAATCTCAGAAGAAGTATAGTCCTATCCGTTAGATAATTATCTTTAATCCACTGAATTCTGCAGATATCTCAGTGCACCTTGTTTACAGCCCTTAAGGCCTTCTTGTTTCTATTTGCATGAAATAAAACCAGACACAGAGACCTTTGTCAAGCTGAAGGAATTTATAAGAAATCACACCTATATTCTCATTTCTTTAACAACTGCATGTTGAATTTTAGGTCTGATCATTTCAGATTATCTATTATTATAGGATTGAATTTGAGTAGGGTTCAAAATAAGGGGACTGGTGTGTTTAGATGGATTCACCTCTAATGTGTCAGAAAGACAGTGGCCTCATGAAGCTCTCCTGCTACTTTTTGTGTGTGTGTGTGTGTGTGTGTGTGGTACGCGGGCCTCTCACTGTTGTGGCGTCTCCTGTTGCAGAGCACAGGCTCCAGACACACAGGCTCGGCGGCCATGGCTCACGGGCCCAGCCGCTCCGCGGCATGTGGGATCTTCCCAGACTGGGGCATGAACCCGTGTCGCTTGCATCGGCAGGCGGACTGTCAACCACTGTGGCACCAGGGAAGCCCCACTCTCTTGCTACTTTTGAATGTGGTGTTTTTTAGCATCATCTGAAGACCCAGACGCAGAGGAGGCACATGATCCAGACAAGGGTCTGTTAGGTAAAGTTTGGTCCCTTTCTGCCTATTTCCAGATAACTGGCAAAGAAACTAAGCATGGGTAATTCAAGCATAAGAGAAGGTTCCAGGCACCGTGGTCGTTAGGCTGGGTGGCTCTTCTGGGCTAAGACTGCAGGTCCAAAGCAGTGGTGCGGTAGGTTGTCTCCGAACTCCACTGGCCAATAGAAGGGGCAAGGAGGTCAGCCTGGCACTTGCCATTGGCTCAGAGACTGAGGAGGACATCCTGCAGCTGGTGGTTAATTGGGTTGGGCTAGAACAGGAAAACACGGGGGCTACTGCTGTGTAGTGGTTCATTCAGTCCACACACATTAACAGAGCATCTTCTGTGCACCAGGTATCCTGCTAGGCACTGGGTGGGGGAAGTACAACTGTTAATTAAGACAGAAAAAGTCTCGCTGCTGAGCTAGTGGTAGAGACACACTACAAGCAGGGAAACCATTACTTTAATAGATATACGAGTTATGTAGAAAATAAAGCAATGTTATATAACATTGGTCTGTTTTATTTTCATTTTAATTTAAAAAATGTATTTTATTTTCTAACAGTAATTGTATATATGTAAGGTGTACATGATTTGATATGCGTAAACATAGCAGAGTGATTACCACAGTCAGGTAATTAACACATCTCCACATACACTTACAATTTTTGTGTGTGTGATGAGTATCTGAAATCTACTCTCTTAGCAATCTCCAGTATTCAGTCATATTAACTATAGTCGTCATGCTGTGCACCAGATCTCTAGACTTATCCTACATATCTGCAACTTTGTGCCCTTTGACCAGTATCTCCGAGTTTCCCCCTTCTCCAGCCCCTGGTAGCCACAGCTCTGCTCTCTGCCTCTACATATTTGACTTTTAAACTTATTTTTAATTTTTTAAAAATTTGTGAACGACAGTTTATTACTTTCATTTAGACAGTATTTCAGTGTAATAGTCTAAACATTTAACAATGTAATTATTTATTTTAAAAGCAATATAGACAAATTATTTATGTAAACCCATGGCTGTAGACTTGAAAATACCCAGGTTTTTTTCTTTTTCTTTTTTTAAAATTTTATTATTTTTTAAAAAATAAATTTATTTATTTATTATTTATTTTTGTCTGTGTTGGGTCTTTGTTTCTGCACACGGGCTTTCTTTTCTTTTTCTTTTTTTTTTTTGTGGTATGTGGGCCTCTCACTGCTGTGGCCTCTCCCATCGTGGAGCACAGGCTCTGCACACGCAGGCTCAGCGGCCATGGCTCACGGGCCTAGCTGCTCCGCGGCATGTGGGATCCTCCTGGACCGGGGCACGAACTCGTGTACCTTGCATCGGCAGGCGGACTCTCAACCACTGCGCCACCAGGGAAGCCCACGGGCTTTCTTTAGTTGTGGTGAGCGGGGGCTACTCTTCCTTTCGGTGTGCGGGCTTCTCATTGCGGTGGCTTCTCTTGCTGTGGAGCATGGGCTCTAGGCACACGGGCTTCAGTAGTTCTGGCACATGGGCTTAGTTGCTTCATGGCATGTGGGATCTTCCCGGACCAGGGCTTGAACCCATGTTACCTGCATTGGCAGGCGGATTCTTAACCACTGTGCCTCCAGGGAAGCCCTATTTTTATTTTTTTAAATTGCAGTTGACATACAATATTATATTAGTATTCAAGTGTTCAACATAGTGATTTCACATTTATATTCATTAAGGATTGATCACCACAATAAGTCAGGTAACCATCTGTTACCATATAAAATTATTGCAGTGCAATTGACTATATTCCCTATGCTGTATATTACATTCTGTACCTGTGAGTCAGTTTCTGTTTTGTTTTGTTTGTCTGTTTGTTTTGTTTTTTAGATTCCACATGTAAGTGTAATGATATGGTATTTGTCTTTGATTATTTCACTTAGTGTAAAATCCTCTAGGTCCATCCATGTTGTCACAAATGACAAGGTTGCATTTTTTATGCCTGAGTAATATTCCATTGTGTATATGTACCACCTCTCATTTATCCATTCATCTATCAATGGACATTTAGGTTGTTTCCATGTCTTGGCTATTGTAAATGTGCTGCTGTGAACATTGGGGTGCGTGGATCTTTCCAAATTTTGAATAATTTAAATAGCTACATGCAGCTAGTAGCTAACACAGCACAGCTATAGATGATAGCTGTTCCAGGGACTACTTAGAATATACAAAGTTGGCTCTTTAGATTTCCTTAACTGATATAGTATTTCAGTTACTTATTTTTGAGCATATTGTTTGCCATTTGGTTTGCAATGAAGTATCTAGCAATGTCCCCATCTTGGAGAAAAAATAAACAAATGAAAATTTAAATATGCACAAAAGAGACAATATAGACAACCAAGAAATAGCATGATATACTTTAATCTTAATCACAGAAGAATCATGCTAAGTGTAAAGGACTCCAGAAGAGCAGCTGGTCCCTTCAGGTTGCAGTATCTGTAGGAAGATGGGAGACCTGTGCTGGTTATTGGACTTGTTGTCTATGTTTTGGATGGGTAGGAAGGAAGGAAAGGAAATATCAGGAGAAGGCGGGGTGAAAGTGAAACTCATCGTCTGGGAACCTGTGAGATGTGCTCGGGCCCAGCGCGGGGACTCGTCGCTGAGGCAAGGAGGGTGATTGGCAGAATGAAATCCAGCTGGAAGGTGGTTTGGAAGGTCAGTCAACTGTGTCATATGGTTGTAGCTGCCTTTGAATTGATGGCTAAAAAGCTTGGGATTTATCTTCTAGGCAGCAAACATTCAGAATCATTGAAGGATTCTGAGCTAAAGAGAAATATAATGAGTCTTGTTGTGGGAAAACAAGCTTGGCAGATGTATGATGAACAGAGAAATGAGTTAGGTAGCTTATAGGCAAGAGGGAGAGGCTTCTGAACCAGGGGGATGGCTGTAGAGATGAGACTTCCTGGAAGTAAAACCGACGGATGTTGCTGATGGATTAGGGCAGGATTGCAGAAGCGCTGGAGGGAGGGAGGTTAAGGTGGGAGGCCGGGATGGATTGCGGCACGGCTTGGCGGGGGGAGGGTCCTGTTAAATGTAGAGGCTGTGGTGAGAGGCTGGGGTGGATGCACTGGAGTGACTTAGAAACAGAGTCACCTGATGGTTACTTGGCTACCAAGAAATTGCTAGAAGTAACTGTTTACACATTATAGTGCTGCATTTAAAAATTGGCTTGAACTTAATTTGTAAATTTTAGTGTGTTTTTGTGTGATGACCGAAGGGTTTTTAATACGTTAACAAGCGCACGATCTGTGGAAAATTGACATGTGATGATAATTAGCAATGAGGCCATGGTTTTCACGCTGCCACCCTGCCCACCCTCCACCTTGCCCTGACCTCTGATAGCCCTGTCACTTTTTTTAGGGTGAACAAAAGCAAACACAAGGAGCACTAGTGTGACCACCTGAATCCAGTGTCACGTGGTCGGGGTAATCAGCTTTCACACTGATGGACTCTGGTTCTTTTTCTTCCTTACAAGAATCGGATGTGGGAAGTTAGAGTGGTGTCAGCCATCTTCCTCTTGTGATCTTCATCAAATCTCTCGTTCTGGGCCACAGTGAAGTGATTCTTCCAATCTCCCACGGCCCCTGAAACAGACGTGGGGTGGTGGGTGTCAGTACCGTGGGGGGATTTGGATTTCTCTGTTCTCCCGTTTCTGTGTGAGGATTTATACTCCCCGTCAGGGAGGGACAGAGTGGGGCAAACGTTTCTCGGGCTGGCCTGGCAGTGTCTCCTCCTGGAAGGGGGAGGAATCGCCTGTCTGGCTTGTGGGTCGGGAGGTGACACGCCGCGTGAACAGCAGGTCTGAGGAGCTCTCTTGTCTTTCCCTCCTGCCCGTCACAGCACGTTCGGTGCTTGTGCCTGTGGCTGGCATCCTGCAGGCAGACCAGGCAGGGCCTGCTTCTGGAAGGACTCAACGTGAGGTTTTGAAAAAGGAGGGAAGAAAAGGAAGATTCCCCTCCAGTTCTCCACGTGCAATCCCTGTTACCTTTCCCAGACTGCTTTTTCTACATAGTACTTACTAGCAACTATTATCCTGAATTTTCGTGTGTTTTGTTCCCTGCTCTGAACATTGCCCAGAACAGTGCCTGGCACATAGTAGCCACTCCAGTCAGTAAGTATTTTGGAGTGAATGGACCTCTCTGATAGCTTAGAGCCCTCTGGAAAGGGGATTCTTTGCTCCATCTGACTTAATTCTGTATATTTTCACCTTATCAGCCAGAACTCCAGAAGGAAGGTGAGGATAAAGGGTTGGACTTAGACACCAAACCTCAGTCTCCAGTTGTGGCTGAACATTGATTTCATTTCATCTGTGGTTTCTTAAATTATTTTTTTCCCAGAACCATTTATTATTGATCTTATTTTTCTTATCTATAGAAAAGAAACTCCCCAAAGACTCTGAAATATTGGACAATTCCTTTAAGATTATTGTGAAAAGGAAACATAAAAACCTTTTCTCATGAATGGAGAAATAGAGTGGTTCATGAATGGAGCTGGAATCGACGTGTAGTTTGCCATTGGGTTCTGCTTCATGACGTCAAATGAACTGTAATGGACAATTTTATCCAGAACTTTATCATCTAGGTTCTTTCCAATAAATTCTGCCAGCTTCAGAATTTCATGCTTTGGGTTCTATGATCAGAGTCAAAAGAAAAGACTTGATATAAGATAATTTATATCAATAAATAATAGTTTCAAAAGACTGTTGGAATGAATTAATGCTGGTAATCAGTAACATGTCATGAATTAAAATTTTAAAAAATCGTGTCTCACAAGTGCTCAGCTTTTCAGATGTGACTCACTTTGATGTGGTGACTGTATCAATTGGAGTCATTACGCTCCTCTTGTTCTAACATGGAAGCATCAACTGAGCATGTCGGTGAGACACTCACCACACAGTGACATGCAGTGCATGGGGCGCGTGCCATGGAGGGATGTGTCCAGAATTAGGCCCAAATGTCCTGCTGTAGCCCATCCAGCTAAATGCCGCACGAGGACAGCCACTGGACTGATGCTGAGAGCAGGTGTTGCGGCAGCGTTGGGGACCTGGCCACAGAGGCCCGTCTCCTGCTTCTCATGTGGACAGAAGTGGCTCCAGACTTTCCCAGTGGTGCCGGTGAGGGGGACACGAGGGTGGGAGGGACTTCTTTGCACCCAAGAGGCCCCGTGGTAGTAGCTGCAGTGCCCAGCTGGTCTGGGTGCTTCGGTGTCTCTGAGAAGGTTTCAGCCCTATTGTCGCCACTGTTTCCTCCTCAGAGGGACGCAGCCCAGGGGCGCTGTGGTGTGGGAAGGCCCCTGTGTCCGGGAGGAGTGGTGCGTTGCATTTATGTGGTGGGAGCATTTATCCCCGCCACTGTGTCTCCTGCTTTAAAATGGGCTCCTGCCTTGAAGCTTGGATGTCAAAAGTTCTTAGTTTAGTTGGCCTCACACAGACTAGGAATCAGCAAGAGTGCTGAGAACTGTGCGCTCTGAGTGACCACAGGCAGGTGACAGTCCAGAGCATGATCGCAGAAACATGTAAGAGGGCTCTGGGGACCCTGAGGTTAGACTGCCTATTTCGGTAAAGTCTCTTCCTGGCATTCTTAATGCATTAGGATCTACCCCAGGGATCTATCCACGATTCCCAGGGACACATCCTCCTTTGACACTGCTATGACGATATGTGGGCAAGCGTCACCTACATGGACTTTCCCTGGTCTTAGCTTAGTAGCATGGCCCCTGTTTGTCACATCCAGTCATAAAAGAGCAAACCCTTCCTTATAACCCCTGCCATAATATTCCTTAGTTGAGTGTCTATATCTGGAATCCTGTGACGAGACAACTCTCTGAACTGCAGCAGTGCATATATGTATATGTGACCAGAGTCTCCTTTTGTATGCCCTCCTGTTGTTTAGTTTTTTGGTGCTCTCTTGTGGTGTCTCCACACTTTTGTACCAAGTAAACACAAGGGAGAGAATTTTATACTGATACCTGTATGGGTTGTCCTGCTAGCCCTGGAATCATGGTTCTGAGAATCCTAGAAATGTAATCCTAGAAACTTACCTATTTAAAAAAACCATACAGAACAGATCAGTGGTTGCCAGAGGTGGGAGGTGAAGTGGGTGAAGGGGGTCAAAATGTTCAAAATTCCAGTTGTAAGATAAATAAGTCCTAGGATGTAGTGTACATCATGGTGACTATAACTAATCACACTGCACTGTATAATTAATAACATTATATCGTACAGTATAATAACACTGTGCCGAGAATAGATCTTAAAAGTTCTCACCACAAGAAAGAAAATTTTTGTCACTATGTGTGGTGACAGATGTTGACTGATTATGGAGATAATTTCTCAGTACATACAAATATCAAATCATTATCCTGTACACCTGAAACGAATATAATGTTACTTGTCAGTTGTATCTCAATAAAAAACATAGAAAAATGATGCTGTGTTTTTCACTCTTCAGATATTTTGTAGACACAACTGGATAAAGCCCAGTAGTGATGGAACCTAAGAGAAGTGCAGCTAAACTAATGTGCACAGGAATCCCCGATTAATCTTTTAAAACTGCATGTCTGACTTAGCAGGCCTGGCATGGGCTCTGAGAGGCCATGCAGCTGTCTGTGACGTACCTTTTGAGAACCAGGCTTTCAGTTATAAATTCTAGAACAGAGACTGTAATTCTGTATAGATCCCTGTATTCAGTGGAGTCACAGAAAGGACTGGGTAGATGACCATTTACAATATACTCTCATGACACCACCTCATTTAGTCGTTATAACAGCTCTTGGAGTGCATATTACTATCTCCTTTCTGCATGTAAGGAAACTAAATTCCTAGATGCTAAGCATCTTCGCAAAGAATAATTGCCAGCAGGCAGTAAAGCCAGAACTGGGATTCAGGAATCTTGACTCTAAACCATTAGTGTTTCCCACTGCACCATAATTTCTTAAACTGTTTCTTGAAACTATGACGTTCCTCAAGTACTAATAAAAAAACCCCCAAAATATGCTAGATTTTTTTTCCCTTCTAAACGGAATTTAAAAGTCTACATACAAGGAGAAAAAAAGGCATCCCTCATTTTGCCATCCTCTGCCTATAAGGAAAAGGTGTCCCAGAGCCCAGAGCTCCAGGAAGCTCAGGTGAGACTGTGTGACACAGAAACTCATGACGTCCCAGGTGTGCTTTGATGCGTGGACAGCTGCAGCCAGTGAAATGTAGCGTCTTCTGTGCCCTGTTTCAATCTGTGAGTCCCTGATGGGGTCCACACGTTATGACTGAAATATTTTACGGTCAGAGCGGAACACGTGAGGCGGCCCTGCTCCTTACCCTCTTCATGTCCTCGTAGAAGAGATAGAGGATGCGGTGCTGGTCCTTGGCGTCCCACCATCCCTTCCCGTGCTCGTACCAGGAGCCCCAGCACACTGCGGGACGGGATCAGAAACAGGGCAGTGAGTCGCAGAAACCCAGCTGACGAGCACCCACCTGGGAGGAAAATCCTGAAGAGAGGGAGAAGAGGCCACACTGGTGGTTTCCTCGCCGTAAAGAAGGCCGAGCCCCTGCTGTTCTAAGGAAATGATGGCTGCTCTGTAGAGTATTCGAGGATTTTGAGAAAGGATGGGATCAAAGCTGAGTTCTCTCACCGTTCCCAGCCAGAAAACTCTCAAAGTACTCTTCCCAGGTTCCTGGAGCGGGAAGCCCTTTATTCATCCTGTGGAAGTGGTAATAAGACACCATGCTGTCCTTGGGGTTTCTTGCTACGGAGATTATCTGGGAGTAGAGGGAGGGAGGGAAGAAGCAAAACCAGGATTAGACCAACAGTTACGTTAGGGTGGGTATATTCCATACAGATGAATTTTTCTCATGCTGCATTCCTGTGATTTGGCTTTTGTGGGAGGTGGAAAGCATTCATATCAATTTGCATATTGATGATGTGACAAGGTGGACTGGTTTTTTTTTTTTTTTTTAACAAGCGAAGTGTTTTAAGAGGAAATGGATTGAGGACCAGTCTGAGGTCCTTCTAAGGGGTCAACTCTGAATTCCTTTGGCTCTTTACCTTACAGTTTTTCTCCAGGAAGGATGGTGGCAGCAAGTGGATGGGAAGGTGCGTCTTCAGGATCCGTGGTGAGGGCATTGCATTAGCTTGTTCCAAGCCTGTAAAATTAATTTTCAATGACTTCCCATTATTTTTCTCTATTTGCTTCAGAATCTTGCTGCTTTGTTATTACTACATTAGGAACAGTTCCAGGCCGCCTGTAACTCTCTGTGGATCTCATCTGAGAGAATACTTGTAGCTCACGAACGGGTTTTTTGGGTTAGAGCAGTAGTTTTTGTTTTTGTTTTTGTTTTGCAGTACGTAGGCCTCTTACTGTTGTGGCCTCTCCCATTGCAGAGCACAGGCTCCGCACGCGCAGGCTCAGCGGCCATGGCTCACGGGCCCAGCCGCTCCGCGGCATGTGGGATCCTCCCGGACCGGGGCACGAACCCGTGTCCCCTGCATCGGCAGGCGGACTCTCAACTACTGCGCCACCAGGGAAGCCCGGCTAGAGCAGTTTTTAACCATAACAATAAACCAAATAAAGAAGAACCTAAAAAATTCAAACCCTTCCACTATAAAATTATCTTACCTAGGCTCATCCTTGTGGAGTGAAGTTAATTTCTAATTGGAGAATCAAAACTTAACTTACTTTTGCATAAACAGTAACTTGATTAGAAAATGTCTGGAGTTAGAACGATGGCCAGATGGTGAGAAAGATAGTCATGGAGTCCATCGATGGTTGTTTGAATGCCTAGAATTCTGACAGGGCTACTGGATAGTAAAAATCCCTGGTGGGTGTCTAGGCCCGGGGTCAGGTGCAGCTGTGCCGTACTCACCAGATTCCATGCCCGGGATTTTCCACTCGATGAAGGGGAATCGCTCGTGAGTAGGTGCCCGCTGGCTTCTGTCAATGTCACCCTTGTTTTGTATCAAGTCCACGATCTCCTGCGTCCAGGTTGTTCCTTATTCCCCAGGAAGATGAGGAAGCACAGGCTTTATCTACTGCAGTTCTTAGAATGTGACCAAACACTTGTTAGAGCAGCTGTGTGAACTTTAAAGCCAGCTTTATAATGGAATTCAGAAACCATCCTTCTTTGTTTATATCTTGTGTTATCATAATATGGTATGATATGGATTTTTATACAAAGACTCCAATTTGGAGTGGACATTAGATTCATAAATATATAGTTCTTTTTTTATTCTGTACAACCATTAATTAGGATTGTTATGCTATTGAGTTAGCTGCATAGTTCCTTAGAAAGGCAGAATGAGAGTCCTTCTTACCAGCCTGTGATGTGGAGAGTCATCACGGTGTGGTCTTCAGACTCTGTTTCCCAAGCGCGTAGCATGGGCTTGCTACGCAGGAGGAGGATCTTGTTATATGTTGGCCGAATGAATGAATGATTAGGGCTTAGTCTCCATTTTCACACTTTCCTTTATTTTACCTGAAAGGCTAAAAAGTGCATTCCCTAGGCTCCTTTGCTGCTGAGATTCTAAATGTCCTGAAATCTGATTTACATTCTAGGATTTGAGGCAAGGAGGTAGAGGTCTGATTGATAGAAGATGTGCAGAGGCCACTCCGCATTTTGCCGCCTGGAACCTCGACCCAGAGGCTGCGCCCTCACTGCCCCCGCTGCCCCCGAGAAGGGCCTCTGTCTCCCAGCTCCGGTCAACCCCTGTGGGCCGCCCCATCCTGACCAGCGTGGGGCTGCCACCTAACCTTCGGCCTTGGCTGAAGACTACTGACCAGACACCTGACTGAGTCCGTGGCAGGAGGAGGCTGGGAGACTGAGCTCTGAGTCCTGGGTCTGGGCTGATCAACTCTGGTTACAAGACCCTTTCTCATGCTCCCAATTCAGCCCTTCTAGGTCTACCAGGGGGCACAGCTTAGAAAACGAGAGAGCAGCTGCCGTTTATATCCTCGATGAGTTAGCTTCTAATATTTTCTGACACCAATTCTTTCATTACAGGATCCAGGACCAATATTTCTTTAGCTATTGACTCAAAGGAAGTTCAAGTGTACTCGTTTTGTGTGTTTATTCTGAATGGACAGCCACGGGCTAACGCTGGGGCAGACTCCAGTGCGACTGGAGGTTTGGGGTCAGATCGTCCCCTAGCAGTCAGCGGTTCTACAGTGTGTTTATCTCACCTCAGTCACAGAGCATTTATTATTATGCTACAAATTTAGGTGTAAACCATTCCATGATCTGAGCTTGTTTCTTCTTCCCTCTGATCAATATAGTCTTTATTAGTGTACAGGTTTTGAGTGATTGACTAAATATTACCTTAGCTGGCAAGTGCTTCACTTTTTGAGTGTGTTATTTGGATTGTACAGTCCTGCTTGCCCCTAACCCATGAAAACCCTAAATGAACCAAATCTTAATGCTCACATTTGGCAGGTGGAGAAAAGATGAATGATTAAGCATTGTACTGAAATTATGGTTATAAATTAAGAGTTGTGGGTGAAATTAAGGCAGTGAGATATGATCCCCACCAGTGGGTACTTTCAGAAATTCACATTTAGAAAATTTTAATTCTGAACAGACTCATGATGAGTAAGATCAGAAATCAGGGCCGATGTGAAACCGATGGACGGGTGAGTCGAAGGCCCCGTCTGCCTGTAGAGCCTTTTGTCAGAATGTTACAGATAAAGGCAAAGGGGGTGGAGTGTGTGTGTGCGTGTGCGTTCACATGTGTGTGAGCATGTAGCAGAAGTTATTGACATGGAGCTTGACTTTGCAGAGAGCAGATGTCAATGCAATCGGGGTATGAGTTGAATACTGTATTTTTGGTCTAACTGTAGATATACACAAATAACTGCAGAGAACTCTTTCTCTCTGCTCACCCCCGCATTTTTATGATGCAGTGGCTGAGCTCAAGTTTGTCTTGTTTCTTCAGTGACTTTGTTAAACTGACTATTGAAATAAGAAAGTAGGTTCACAACCTACCACCAGGGAGGGTGGAAATTAAGAGAATATTTCTGGGACCCTGAGCTGGGAGACTTACAAGCTCAGCATTGCAGAGCCCAAGCCCCTCCTCTTCCCTAGATCAGGCAGGGGTGCCCTGTCTGGCTCTACTATATGGGCCTGTGCTGGGAACAAGTAAGGCAGCAAGTCTGGCCCCTTTGTTTTGGGCTGTTTGATTCACTCTCTTTCAGGGAAGTAAAAAAACAGGTACATCACAGAAAGAATTAAATTCTTCAGATGTGTAGGTCACTTTAATATTTTTCGTGTGGTTTCAGTTACTACCTGTGATTTGTCTTGGCCGTATCACTCTGCCCAGTAAACAGCTTTCCACTCAAATCCAGGTCGGTTTCTTTATTTCATTATTATTATTATTATTTTTTGTTGTGGTACGTGGGCCTCTCACTGTTGTGGCCTCTCCCGTTGCGGAGCTCCGGATGCGCAGGCCCAGTGGCCATGGCTCACGGGCCCAGCCGCTCCGTGGCATGTGGGATCTTCCCAGACCGGGGCACGAACCCGTGTCCCCTGCATCGGCAGGCAGACTCTCAGCCACTGCGCCACCAGGGAAGCCCTCTTTATTTCATTATTGATGCATCTTTCCCGCTTCTCTTCCTAACCCTCCTCTGCGTCTCCCTGCCATCCCTCCCGCCTACCTGCTTTCGGGTAGGTGGAAATGAGCAGGTCATCAGGCCTGGCTTGGAAGTTCCAGATCTGATCCCAGGTGTCACAGGTGGGCGTGGGCTGCAGAATCCCCTCCACGTAGTCCACAGCCAGGCGCTCCGTGCTGTCATATTTTAAATCCTCCATTTTGTTCAAGGCCAAGAGTGTTGGATATCAGATTTCTGCTCCAGGAAAGTGTTACTCTCAGTCAGCTCAGAGCTGCGTTCTTGGCATCGTACAGACAGGGCAGAGCCCAGACCTCAGGTCCTGCCTTGGGCTGGCAGTCGAGGGGGGAGCCAGCCCATCCAGGGAGCTGGGACTCTTGTTTAGGACTTTGCACACAGCGCAAAGTCCTCAACAGCCCCACTGGGGCTCTGATGTAGCCGCCGAGCCCTTGGCTCCTGGCTGCCATTCAGGGGCCTGTGCACATTCAGCCCTGCTCTTCTGTACCGTTAGCAAGAGTCAGTGCCACCTCACTTGTAGTTCTCCTCTGTGTCCACAAAATAATTCACAGATCTCCATTAATTGTTTCTTCTGGGAATTTTAAGCTAATTAAGAAGTTGCAGGGAATCTGCCCGCGGGATTACAGGTTGCAACGCAGAATGCCTACACAGAAAGGCTGGAGGGAAGTTTCTATGCTGCTAACAATAACAGCCTAGATTGAACCTCCCAGCACAGATGGCCGAAGGGGTCAGCGTTGTTATTTTTAAGAGTAAAGTAAACGAGGCTCTAATAGCGAAGGTTCCCTTCCTGTTGTAGGCTGTTCAGTGTCTGTATCAGTCGTTGTCTGTTCACAGCTAATAAAACATGTTTGTCTTACTTGAAGCCAAGTGGATGCAAAAACTTGGGAGCTACAGAACACACACCCTCTGGCTTCTTCCTGGAGTTCACCTCCCAGGCTCGTGCCACATCCCCTGTAAGCCCCTTGTTTTCCTAAAACCCTTGGTGCTTATTTATCCTCCTTGTGCCTTTCCTTGTAATCATTCCTGGCTGCAACGGAGGTTTTTTTCCCTCCTATTTCCACCACAACCCTTCTCGGCTGACCACCTCGAAAACAAGACCAGACTTGCCCAGGTCTCCTGTTTCTCCTTGTGATATAATCGAGAACATGTCTGGTCTTTGTCTCCGGTTCCCGATGCCAGTTTCAAAAGCCCTTTTAAGTCTCTGAGTGATTGGAGCCTTTGGTTGTTCACCGTGAGTCCCTTTAGACCACACCTGAGTTGGTGCCAACAAGGTGACACCTGCTGGGCCATAGACAGTTCCAGGGGAGGGGCCGCCACGGCAGAAGATCAAGCACGTGATCACAGGGTTGGGCCTTTCCGTCCCATCCCCCCTCCAGGGAGAGGAGAGGGTCTTGGAGAGTGGGGTCAGCCGTGTGGCCAGTGACAGGAGACCCCACGAACCCCGGACCCCGAGGCTCTGTGCAGCCTCCCGGCCAGTGAGCGCAGTGAGGGGCCGGGCCAGAGGGGTGCCGTGCCCAGGCTCCACAAGGACAGGGGATGGGGCACGGAAGCTCTGCTCCCTCTGTCCCAGACCTTGCCCCCAGCACCTCTTCCATTTGGCTGCTGTGATCTGAATCCTCTATGATGAAACTGTAATTGTAGGTGTAGCGCTTTCAGTGAGTCCTGAAAGCACCATTATGGACGCTATGGGGGTCATGGGGACCCTCCACACTTAGAGCTGGCTGGTCAGAAGCACAGATGGTCCCCACGACTCGTGGGTGCATCTGGGGGGGGGGGTCTTGGGAAAGACTTTGCCCTTGACCTCTGGGTCTGCGCTAACCCCTGGTGGTCAGTGTCAGTATGGAAGCCAGTTGACGGAGAACCACCCTGAGATGCCTCTCCCGCCCCCAGCTGCCCCAGATGCTGTTCTTGCCGGCAGGAGTCTCCCTTCTTGCTTAAACCACTTCCCACCCAGACCTTCACAGCACCCCACGAGGGCCTCCGTGTGGCGCCCCTGCGGTACCTGGGAGCCCAGGGTGTGCACACTGCCTGCTCTGCAGCCCTGATGCCCCCGTGTCCCCCTCCTGCGTCCCCGTGCCTCCCGCAGGTGCAGGCTCCCGCCGCCGTGGCCGTCCTTCGTCTCCCGGCTTCACCCTCTGGCTCTGGCTCTGGCTCACCTGCGTCTGAACCTTCAGATCTTCTTTAACGTCCTCCCTAAATGGCCCCTCTCTGGAGAGCCTGCCCCTGAACTTGGGCGCCTCCCCTTTCCTTGCTGGTGGCCCTGTCCTGTCCTTTGGAGCAGCCGTCCGCACTCAGCCCCGTGTCCTCCCCTGTCCGCCGCAGCACGGAAACTGGGCTCTGCCCGTGTCCTCACCGCAGCCGGCCCCGTGGCTGGTGCCTGCGTCCTCTGCAGAAGGGAAGGGAGAACCGAGGGAGCGAGGTCTGGGAGCCACCACCGTGCTGGGGTTAGGCAAGCTGGTGGCTGAGGCTGGGGGTCTGAGACGGAAGGCAGACACCGGACTCCTGCTCTGACCCCTGCACCAGCTCCCGGCAGCCGAGGGCTGTGGACGGGGTGCTGACCCTCTTTCCTCTGAAAATGGGGGTCATGACAGCCTCTGCCTATGGAGTTGTTGTGCGAATGAAAGTGTGTTTACCGCTCAGCAACCTTATCTGTGAATAATGAGCCATGACTATGGGCCCCTCTTCCCATGTGACCTCAGGGGAATGCCTGGGCTCTCCCTGCCCCTCAACCTCCCTGTCGGCTGTCAGGAGCTGGATGGACGCTTGGGACCAAGACTGCCAGGTGGAATTCCTGGCCTTCACATGCATTTGAAAAGACTTAGGAAAATTATCTGTGGCTTTTCGGAGAAATTTCTTTCTACGGTCTTTATAGTTCTGTGTGCCAGCAGAGCAGAGAGCTGGGGAGCTTAGCAACATCTTGGCAGTTTTGTTTAGTCCCTTGTGTGCTGGGGATGCAGGGCTGGGAGACAGGGAGAAAATGCCCCCCGTCCCTGAAGAGGACTGGTTGAGGTTGAAATAGACCTGGGGATAGCTGAAGATTTCAAATAACCTGAAAAATTTTCATGACTGCACGGATGGTTCCTAGTCTCATTTAATATTTTCCCCCAATAACATCAATACTTTCTCACAAGTTCAGGAAAATTAAAGTGTGGTACTTAGTTATTATCAAATTCACGTGGTGCCAAGTCTGCATCTGCTAAGCATTGCTTTGGAATTCCAAATCTCTGGGGTTGGATTGAAGCTGCCCCGTGTAGACTTTCTAGTCACTCGATCCCTTCTGAGCCGTTTTAGCCTCACAGGATTAATGTAAGGATTGAGGCATGCAAGTCATTCTGCGGTGTTGGCACACGGTAGGCACCAGAGGTAAAGTCACTGCCCTTTCTCTCCTGTGTCTTCCTGGTTCCTCTTTTCTACTGTTTTCCTCCGGGCGTGGGGAGGAGCCCCCCTCCTGCCCTCTCTGGATGTCCCAGGTGCAAACCAGGGGCTTGTCTAGGCCTCACATGTGATCCCTTTGAAAAAATTACAAAGGGGCTTTCTAACCTGCTTTTCTTAGGAAAAGTCAGAATGCAGGTCATTTTTCTTAAACAGGTTCTTGTTTGTATGTTTTTACAGAAGGAGTAGGTCTAAAACATATTTTGGTTCTGCAAACTGTTTTAAAAGACAACTATTGGGAAGTGGGCTAAGCTCGGACTGAATAAAATTGAACTGAAATTGTCTTTATTCCTTGAATCAGTCTTTCGTTTATTGGGCTTTTTATAAATTCCTCAGTTGTTATCCAATCCTTGAGACCAAGTCAGGAGGAAAGAGGAGGAACAGGGCCATGGTCAGTACGACCGGAACCACATCCAGACTGTGTGGGACCAGGGCTCGTCTGGGGTCATGCACAGCCCATCCCACCTTCTGATTCGGTGGCCTTGTGGCCACACTGCTGCAGGGCTCGGCTCTAGGAGCTGAGGAGGGAGAAAACCAAAGTCAGAGGAAGTGTATTAGTTAGTACTTGCCGCTTCAATCAACTGCAGAGATTGGGTTGGTTCTGAACTCGTAGTGAAGTGAAGGAAGGATGCATGAAACCTTCAATCTCAGATCATCCCTTAAAACAAAACCCCAAGAATCTTTACATTCTCGGAAGAATAAAAAGCTGGTCAAAATACAGAACATCCAGTTGTATTTGAATTTCAGGTAAACGACGAATGAATTTTTAGAATGAGCTTGTCCCATGCAATATTTGGGACATATTTATACTTACAAAAATCATCTGTTGTTCTGTATTTTATCTGGAAACTCTATGTGGGCGGGAGGTTGCTAGCTCAGTCTAACTTCAAAGCAGCAAAGCTCTGGAGGCTTAACGAGTGGGATTTAGAGACACAGGGAAGCGGAAAGCCCTTTGGACTCTCGCAAGCTGAGCAGCCTCGTGGCTCCCCACTGGCTCATGGGGAGATGTGTGTCGTCTGCACTTTCCAGTTATTTGTGTCCTTGCAGCTTGCTGCTCGGGGCTGGACATCTGTGAGCTTGTTTTGTGGCGATGGTACCGCTTACCATCAGTATACCATTCAGTATACAATACTGAATGTGAGTGTAAAACATCTAGACAGACTTTAAACTTGTAGACCAGCCTAGGAAAGCCTTCTGTGCTCTTGCAAGGAAAGGAATGCTAAGATAAGTTGCTAATATCACTACTCTTGCTAATGAAAATATTAATCTCATGCTAAAAATATTGTTTCCTTAATTTTTTATCAGAACTAAGCAACAGAATCAATGAAATTTGTTCTACTATTTTCAGTTTTCCCACTAGTTATAAGAACAGAATCCCTTAGTATCCTGGGGATTGGTTCCAGAGCCCCCGCAGATACCAAAATCCACAGATGCTCAGGTGCCATGTGTAAAACGGCACAGTACAATCGGCCCTCTGTATCCAGGGGTTTCTGCACCTGTGGGCTTAACCAACTGTTGAACGTGTAAGTACAGGCACACATCCTTTTATTGTGCTTCGCTTTATTGCACTTTGCAGATATTACATTTTTTACAGATTGAAGGTTTGTGGCAGCTCTGCAATGAGCAAGTCTATCAGCTCCATTTTCCCAATGGCATTTGCTCTCTTCTCTGCATCAGGTTTTGATAATTCTTGCAATATTTCAATCTTTTTCATTATTATTATACTTGTTATGGTGATCACAGATCACCATAACAGATGTT